AACCCCTAGGCCACCAAGGAGGTCCTGGCTTCCATTTTTTGTATATTTATATAGAACAGTGAGTCCAAAAATGTCTTCATAAAAGCAAGAGAGAAAACAGCTGCTCTCTGATGATGAACTAAAACTTGAGGCAAACTCCTTTGCTGGCTGCCTGGATTCCATTTTAAAACTAGAAGAGCAAGTACTGAGTGACGATTACTGATTCAATGAGCTCTTTTGAAGGAGAATATTAGTAAAATTCAGAGACGTTATGAAGATGTGAGTAACATCCTGCAAAGCACTCATTCTACATACCAAAGTCAAAGAAATAAAACGTCTGGAATCAGGACTTGGTAAGAGCTTGGCTTCAGAGTTTTACTCTAATGTATTTTCTTTTCTTTTCTTTTTTTTTAAGATTTATTTATTTTTATACACGAACCAGGGTACAGGCCAGATGCACAGGCGGGTGAGAGAATTCACCAGAGACAGAGCGGGGAACAGAACAGGCAGACTGATGAAATACACTGCGAGGGGAGCAGCGGGTGAGACAGGAGAGGTCTGCTGCACCATGTGGGATTCTCGCCAGCTGGCCACGACTGAACCCGTGCTGCAGAGGCTGCGGACAGCTTCACAGTGCAGCGCTCAACCGCCTGCTCCACCAGAGAGGCCCTCTAATGTACTTTCAATGATCTTGGACTCTGGGAGAATCCAGGCCCAGCCTCTCCTGCGCGTTCCACAGTGGAGTGTGGAGTCTGGAAGCTGAGCAGGTGCTGAACGTTGGTCTGTACTTTCCAGCACTAATGTCCTGAGGACACTCAGTTCAGAGACCCGGAGGATGTTTCATTTTCCCAACATGACTAATGTTCCTGCAGTGCCGCCTTCTGCCATGAGAAATACCCAGTGCACATAGAAGAGGTGAAGATGCAGCCGTTTTGGACAACACCCCCTCTGCTGTGGCACAGAGGGTTAGCAGTGTGCCCTGGGGTAGTTTTATAGGAAGCGAACGCCGTTCTGAAGAGTCATTCTCCAGCTGTTGAATTGCTGTTCAAATCCTCGTGTTCCGTTTGTCATCCAGTCATCTGTCCATCACAAGTTTATTGGAGGCTGCAGGGCTGCAGTGTGGGGAACACGGACCCTGGGTTGTGTGCAGGGGGAGGAGACCTGCCAGAAGCTCCCGTGTGTGTAAGAAAAGGCAGGCTGGTCCCACTCGGGTCTGCTCAGGCACACGAGGTTTGCAGTCAGCGCAGTTCAGGTGAGCGGGAAGCTTCAGTCTGTGGTGGGCTCACTTTCCACCCTGTGCTGGGATGGTCTGCATGGGATCCTTTCCTCCTGGAAGTGCACAGTCTGGGCATGCCCCCACACTCCTTGGTGCCTGACATACAGGCCCCTCACCCTCCACAGCCCCTGACTCCTGACACGCTGGCATCTCACCCTCCGCAGCCCCTGACTCCTGACACACCTGCACCTCACCCTCCACAGCCCCTGACTCCTGACACACCTGCATCTCACCTTCCACGGCCCCTGACTCCTTTTCTCACCTGCACTTGGGATGCTCCGCCTTTGTTTTTCTGTTTTATTTTATTGTTCAGTATTTACCATGTCAAGTGCACTATCCTTTCCTGCTTCATACAGTCACCTTGTACAATCATTACTTTAATATTGTTCTTCATCTCTGTCTTATACTCACAGGCTGCAAGGACTGACTGGCCCCAGGCCAAACTGAGGTCCCAGAGGAAGAGGCAGCTGATGAAAGGTGTGTGACTGTTGAAAGGAAACCACCAAGTCTTCAAGGGCATTTGCATTGGGGAGAGGAAGGATGGCTTCTTGCCATCAGTGTTCTCTGTTTTGTCCTCTCCCCAGTACCTGTGCTCACACACCAGGACTTTATCCTTTGCAGAAACGACAAAGAAATTGGCAGAGGACTGTGATTACTTTGACCAATTAAAGGAAGAGAAAATGGAAAAAATTTATATGACAAGAAAAAAAGGACAAACACAAAATATGAAGATCACAACCTTTGAAGAGTAAGATGCTTTTGTGTCAAGGTTACCAAGACGCTGTCTGGATGTTTGTGTGCAACGGGCCGTCATTGCATTTCTTTGAAAATGGTTCTACTCTCTTTTTGCCAGGTTCATTCAGTACAGCATCTTGCCTGTCTTCCTACTTTTATTTGCACAATCTGCATATTTCTTTCTATTCTGATTGGGTCTCATTCTTGTCTGCAGTGTGTTTGGAGTAGAGGAGGAGATGCCAGCATTAGCCACCTCCTATCTGGATCCCTCTGGTCCACTAACCTTATCTCTAGGTTTCCAACCACCACTTAGTCCCGGTGAACCCTGTGTCAGCTCCTTGATTATTCAGTGCTAGGTATTGAGCCAATTATATCTCAAAAAAATTATGCTACTGCTGAAAGATAGGAGTTTATTTCTGGCAGGTGGTCGGAGGAGTCAGCTGTGCTACTCCCTTTAATACAGCCTGAAGCGTCGATCTTCACCGCGGGACCCACCCGGTAAAGGCCAGGGTACTGCTTGTCCACCTCTGCTCCGAGCCAGTGACTCTCCTGGGTCCAGCCAAGCCTGTGGGTTCTCAGGGCTCAGCTTTATTGGCAGACCCTGGTCTACCCTGTTTGCCTTCTATGCCCATGCAGGTAGAGACAGGCCCTCAGTGCATGCAGATCAGCATCTGGGCCAGATTACAGTGACAAAGGCTGGGGCCCATGGCTCCCATGCCAGGCTGGCCTTGCTCCTGGCCTCCTCCTCTCTGTCAGCTCTCCGGAGAGAGCTAACCATTGGGTTCAGTTAGATGTTTCTTGTTTTGTCATTTCTGTCTTTTATTTTTTATTCTTAGGGATAAATCAAGGAATTTACACCCCCCATCCATGTTCTAGAGTAAAATTGTTCCTTATCTTTCCTCAAGACTCAGCTATTGTGTGATTCCTTGCCAAGCCTAGGGTAGGGGGATGATGTCCCCACCAACTTTCCTTCCTCTGTGATCTTTTTCTGTGGGCATGTAATGTGGGCATGTAAACAGCAAAGCCATAAGTACTGCAGTCACTATAGGAAGCGGTTGCTGCAGGAACAGTAGGGAGGCTAGAAAGAAGTGTGTGTCCTCTTCTCTCTTCAGTGCTTACTTTGTCCCGGTTCCTTATTATTTTGTGTGTCAATCTATACAGTTAATAGAGTGTCAGCTTGGAGTCAGCAGCATGAGAAAAATAGTCTGAGGGCGGCAGAGCAAAGGAAGGATTCCCAGCCACAGCTCATTGCTGCCCACACTAGCTGTGATCTGGGTCTTGGTAAAGGAAATTGACGCCCTGAAGCTGTTTGTTGTCCATTTGAAATTGCTTCCTAGAGATAATACCCTGACTAAGGGACAGTTTCCAGCATTTTATATTTCAGTACATCCTAGCAGCAATAAGATGGACCTTTTCTCCCACAAGGTGTTTGCAGTAGGAGGCAAAGCTCTGCTCCCGAGCCTTCAGACTATGTGGGGCTGATGGCAGAGGGCTCGGGAAGTCCCAGCCTGTAAGACTGTCTTCATAGCTACTTGTCCTGCATAAGCACAGCCTGGGCTTGATAATCAGGCTCCCCTCGGAGATGCGGACTGGTAGGATCCCCTTCTTTGCCCTAATGTATGTGGTTGTCGTGAGTTGGACAGGCATCCCCTTTATTTCAAGGTGGAAATTTCACGTGTATGTTTCCAGTTTGAAAGAAAAAGCCTTCACCTTCTCAAACAGCAGCCCCAGCACAGGGAGGCACCCCACGCCCTTGTCCTGATGACTGAAGAGCAATGAGCTGGTGGAGACTGTGAGGAAAAGCCGAGTTTGCAGAGGGCACAGCAGAGGCCAGCGCAGGAGGGGGCTTTGCAATCCAGGCCCTGAGCTGGGAAAGGCAGGATTTCGAGAGGGGTGCTGGGCATCATCTCTGTCTTTCCCAATTCAGGATGCTGAAATGGAAGCAGCGTGAAAGGGAGAAAAAGGAGAAGGAGCTTGTAGCTCTGGAGATGAAACTGAAAGAAATTCTTCAAGAAATTGAAAAATACAAGTGAGTTTGTAGATACCAGCAGGTCAAGAAATCCCGGCTTTTTGTTTTTAAACTTGTAATGTTTAGACTCAGGATGTTTAGTGATATCAGCAAAGTTTCAGAAGTCATATAGAGACACAACACAAGGAACAAAAGTTGTTCTACAAAGAACAACAAAAAATAAGTTCATAAATATTTCTTGATCCCCCAATGCTCTTAGCCTTTTAGTTCATACAAATGTCTCTGAGGACAGTGTAATTTTTATAATCACGAACAAACCAGCTCACTGTAGGGTGAATCATATCCGTAAATATGCTTTTGTCATTTGATGGACCTAGAATTTCGAAATTCTGGCAAATATGATAGGGATATAAATCAAAGGAGATTAGAGCTTTATGAGACAAGCTATTGAGGACATGATCAATTAGCGAAATGTTGAGATGGGTAAGTAAGTTACACAGGCTGAGAATCTGGTGGGCATCAAACAGTAAATAAGGAAATGATGCATCAAAAAGCTTTGACCCCACAGTGTGTTTATAACCTTGAAAAATTGTTTTCTGTGTATAGGTCAATTGTATTAGGGAACAATAGATGTGAAGGTTAATAGGCACTTGGGAAATGACTTTAAATGATTCTTAATATTATGCTTTCTCTAATGAAATCAAACATAATAGGCAAGAAACTGAAGAAACTGCAGAAAAACTGAGGCAAGCTGACTTTGTTCATCAACTCCAGGTAACCTGCCTCTCCCCACAGACAATCCTCCTGCTCCTCAAACAAATGTTTGCAAAGCCCCAGGGACCTAACCCCAGGGCTTGGCTGTGTTGCTCTTTTCAGATTGCCCAGCAGGAGAAGAAGGCTCCAGGGCTTGAAGGCTCAAAGGCTCAGGCTCCAAGGATCAGTTTCGATGGATCGGGCTGGAAGGAAGGCTCAGGAGAAATGGGTAAGTTGACTCTCCTTCCCCCCTTCTCTGCACTGTACTGGGCCTGATCAGTGGCTGTGTTTCCCCACAGGTCCTGGTGTGTCAGATGGAGTGGAGATGCAGGAGCAGCGCAGGGAAGCCGCCCACTAGCCAAGCAGGTAGCAGGCTGTGGTGATTCTGCTTCAGGGTGGAGTTGAGGTCCTCAACTACAGTTTCAGGTCTAGTAAAGCACTTGGTTTGGTCATTTGTATGGATGACCAGTTTGTTCTATCTTCAAGATTAGAGATCGTGGAAAATGTGGAGGAGAAAGCAGCCGCTGCAGAACCTGGGAGGCAGAACCCTCCAGGGAGAGGTAAGGAGCACAATGTGATGCTCATTGTCATGCTTCATTCCTGCCTCCAAACCAAACCAAGTCCTTCTTGCTTCTGTGCAATCGATATCTTGTCTGGCAAATCCCAAGTCCCTGTTAAGCAAATGGTTGTTTCAAAGGGGTGCCAGGTCACTGACTTCTAGGTACCCCCCACCCTGTGGCTCTCTGGGTCTGCGCCCACTTTCATCTTAGTTTTAGTGCATTTCTTTTCATAAATATTTATATTACGCCAGCTCTCCTATGGAAGGCAGTTCACGTAGAGCCTGAAAGGTGGAATAATCCACTTGTGTCCTCAAAAAGAGGAACCCCCTTTTCTTGTTGATGTGGATTGGTATTTCCCCATCTATGATCATACTTTTTCTTTAACCTACATTGAAATGGCGATTTGTCTTGCCAAGCATTGGGGAACCTCTGTTTTTGTGCCAGACTCCAACTAGGTGAGCCCTGACAGGTTCCCACTTGGGTGATGAAGTTGAGAGAAAGCGTCTGACCCAGGGGACTGGGGTGATTCCTGTCCCCCTTGGACTCTGGGGCCAGTGAGGCTCCTGGAGAGCCCCATATCCTGAGAAGGGACTGAATGTGGGGACAATGGAGGGTAATGGGGGAAGGCAAGGAGGGTTTCCTCACCATCTCTGCAAGTCCCAATACACCTCTGTCACTTCTGTGGTCTTTGTCAGACTCAGGACCTGGTGCAGCTCCCGTGAGTGATGGCAACTCTGTGCCAGCTGAGGACGCAGAGAAGGGCAAGGTAAACCTATGGCCATTTCTACAGGTATTCTCCACGAGCTCTTCTGGAAACTCTCTCTTTGTGTGCAGCACTGTCTCTGGCCTCACCACTGGCTCTGTGCTCCGTGACATCTTGACAGTGTCACTTGCTTCCCCAGAAGCCCACAGGCTGCTCCGTTCTCACTCACCACCTCGGCTGCGCCCCCAGAAGCCATCAGTGCTTAGAGGCGAGGAGTGAGGGCCATTCATGCTGAGTTTCTGGGCACAGCACAGGAGGATGACACATCGTCCACGCTTTGTCCCCACAGCTGACCCTTCCTGCCTCCCACGTGGGCGGGGCTGCTGGCTCCAGACACAGGAAAGTGGCTGCTGCTCAGGGCCCTCCTTTTGGGGCTGCGGCACAGTCTGTGCAGCTCCTGTGCTGGGCCCTCACCGGTGTGGGAGGGAACAGCACAGGGTGCGTCCTGCGCACTTAGGATGTTCTCAGGGATGGAGGGAATTTCGTGTGGCAGATCACTGAGCCATCTCTGCGGGGAAGGGCTAAACAGACTTCCTTCCCTGTGCACTGGCCCCAAATCTTCTCAAGTGTCAGAGGTGACGTATCTGCGGTAGAAAATGGGCCCTGGAGCTGAGATAGTGAAGACTGAAATGGGTAGTGAGCCGCAGGGCCAGCTCCCAGCAACGTCACTGAAGTGCTCTGGAGAGCAGGGCCCGCTGGTCCTGGGGCTGTCAGAGCCGTAACATTCCTCATCCTGGCCGAGGACACGCACACAACGCCTAGACCAAAGCACACGTGTTCCTAATGCCCGCCTTTGTCCCAACGGGAGTCTGCACCTCACGGTGCTCTCACTTTCAGAATGATCTGGGAATTGAGCACACGGAGCTGAGTCTGAGTGTCTTCCACAGGCCATGCTGTTCCTGTCAGAAAGCCCGTCCCTCCCTCAGGCTCCAGGCACCCCAGCCCCAGGGCTCTGTGCCCTGGGAGGCACCTCCTGTGAGGAGACGCCTTTGTCAGGGAGGGAAGCAGAGGGCGAGAGGGGGAGCAGGCAGCACTTCCTCCAGGAGGAGCTGTGACCCCATGTGAGCCGGGTTTCATCCCCGTCTCCTCTGGGTCCTCAGACATCCGCCCAGCCTCTGCGTGGAGGACGAGGGGTGCTGGGTGGCCCTGGCCACAGATGCCCCCGACCTGGGATGTGTTGCCTTGTCCGGGGACCTTACTTCTGTGGACACTTGGGCCGGACCCCGGGGCCTCCCACGTGCAGACACAGGCAGTGCTGTGTGGTGACAGGGGTATAGTCAGGTGACAGCCAGTGACCCCAAGCGCAGCAGGACCCAGAGGGAGGGAAGTTGTCTGCCCCATCCCCTCTGGACCTGGGGTAGGGGAGGTGCTGAGGTGAGTCCTGCTCTACTGGATTTCAGCCTTGTTTGCTGCTGCTTTGCTGGGTCATTTCTACACTCCTTTCCCTCCTACCCCACAGGTAAATGTGCCTCCAAGAACAGGCCCTCCTTGCTCTGGGCCATCCTGGGTGCCACACCCCCTGCCCAGCTCTGTGCCGACAATGATTGTTTTTTTGTCAGCCCCACTTCCTCCACCCTGGATTTCCCCCTGGACATTTAGCCACCCTGGATTTCTGCGGGACCTCCGCCTCCACTACTTGGTAAGAGGGTCTGAAGAGCATGAGTTGGTCTGAACAGCGTATTCAGGGTCAGCCTCCCTCAGGTTGGTGTGATGTTGCTGAGTCCTCAGAACTTACACAGGCTGGGCTGGCCACTGGCCCGCAGTGTGCTGGGCAGCTGGTGTCTCTTGTGGAGAAGGAAACAGGCTGAGATACCAGGTGTGCTGATGAGCATATCCACATACCCTGTGCTGGGTGCTGGGAGGGATGAGGTGCACCCCTAACTTTTGGGAGCTCAGGGGTCCTATGGAGAGAGACCTCAGTGAATGACACAGAGATGGTGACCCCCTCAATGGAGGGCCAGGAATGCCCAGAGAACAAAACAGGGACTGACACTCACAGGGCAGGGGTGTTGGGAGAAGGTAGTAGGGAGGAGGTGACAGTGGGAGTTGACTGGCTCCATTTAGAAGCTGAGGTCACCCTGCTAGGTCAGCAGCTTGAGCAGAGAGAGTGGGGGCAGGTGAGGTCCAGCTTCTCTCCAACCTGTTCAGTGATAGCTGTGGACAATGCAAGTGTCCCCTCAAGAGGTCATTGTTGCCCTGAGGGCCCGAGCCACACTCCAGTCATGACCCTGGCTCTGAGGTCCTGCTCTGTGCGAGTAGCCCCGGAGGTTTGGGCTCATTGTCTGTGCTTCAGGACGCTCTGTCTGCTGAGTGTGCCCCATGAGTCTCCGGGTGAGGTCAGGGCCAGACCAGAGGGGCAGCTGCCTAGGCTCCCGCTGAGTCACAGCCTGGAGGGTCCCAGCTTGATCAGGCCCTGCCCCTGCTGGATCCTCTCACCACACCCCTGCCTCCTCTGGTCCCCACCCTGCCTGTCAGTTTGCATCTCCCCAAACTGACCACAGGGCATCTGGGCTCACTGCCTGTGTTCCCGTGCTCAACCCCTGGCACCGAGTCTCAGTGGGGGTGGACTCAGAGCCAAACAGCGCTGTCTGTGAGAGGGGACATGTGGGAATGGGGTCTTTGAGGAGAACACGAGGGTCGTCCTTGCAGTCAGTTCCTGCAGAATTTCAGGCACACGTAGGTCACTCCTCATGCTTGCAGGTTGACAGTAGGCCTCCTCCCAGGTCATCAAATGATGTTCTTCAAGCCCAAGCAGTAAATCTAAGCAGGAAACACTCAGGCCCTGACACTCAGATTCCTGAGACTAAATATAAAGCCAGGAAATTCTTCTATTGAGCATCACCTCTACCTGAAAGCTAGCAATGATAATTGGGGAAATGTGTGAGTTCAGAGATATTGGGTCCGAGATCAGAAAGCAATTTTCCTTCCTGCAGGTGACACTCAGATGCAGCCACACACTGAAGGGCTCATCAGAGGGCAGGAGGTGAAGACAGACTCATATAAAACTGAAGGTCGCGGGCCTTCCCCTGTGGCGCAGCGGTTGAGTGCTGGGCCGCGAAGCTGCCTGCAGCCTCTGCAGTGCCAGTTCTATCCCCAGCCCCCAGTGATCCACATGGCGCACAGACCTCTCCTGCCACGCCTGCTGCTTCCCTCAGCAGTGTACTTCAGTCCTTCTGCCTGTTCTGCTCCCTGCTCTGGCTCTGGTGGATTCTCTCACCCTCCCGAGCTTCTGACTGTACCCAGTGCTTGTATAAATAAATAAATCTTTAAAAAAACAAAAAAACCCCTGAAGGTCGCTGTGAATTAATGCCAAATGTCTTTGCTTTTCAAGTCTACCAGGCGTTTGGAAAGACCTGTGAGCCCCAGGACACAGGTGGTTCTATACTCATCCAGGAGTCTGCCCTATGAGCTGAATGTTCTCCCTGCCCATCCTGTCTCCTATGATTTTGTCTCTCATAGTGTCACCCCAATAAACCTCCCAGTTTTACCTGAGTCTCAGAGTCTGTATCGGGGAACCGGGGAACCGACATCCCCTGGAGTGCCCACCGTGAGAGCCTGGAGCGCCCACACGCAGTGCTATGGCAGGTCTGGGGATCGGCGGGGCTGATTATTGTTTAGGAAGTTGTGGGGACCACTTCTGAATGTGGCTAGGACTTGTAGGGGCAGGATAGTCACAGTGCAGGTTATCTATGATCTGGCAGGCAGGTAAAGGAGAATCGTGAAGACCTCAGTGGCTTTCTCAGGCTTTTATTGAGCTTTACATGCACTGCAGCAACCAGGTACACGGCAGGCAGAGGGGCCAGGGGGCCAGGAGGCAGGCAGGCCCCCTTCACTCTGGGCTTCTCTGGCCTCTGTCTCCCCTTCTCTCACCTGCCTCTCTGCTTTTCTACTGCTTCTGCTTCTCTTGGTGATTATCTCAATACTCCTCCCAAGGCCCACAGAAGTAAACAATATAGTTTGCAACAATGTAGCAATTGTGGGTGCCCCATCCGGCAGGGCAATCTTGATGGTGGGAGGGCAGAAAAGCCTGAAAAACCATTTACCCTACAATCCAACTCCTCACGGTCTTCTGCCATACAATCTATATACAAGTAAGTACAAGTTTCCTTTAACAAACACAAACACAGCAGCCTTGGCCCACAAATGAAAATACAACGGAATAATGAAACAATACAACAGAACATAAATAAGTCCAGGCAGGGCACCAACCTAGTGGCAACAGACAATTATTGGCACCAGCAGATGATCCACCACTTCTGCTGCCAAAGGCACTGCTCATACAAGGGAGGGGAACCATCCGGCTGTAGTCTTGGCCACAAGCCACACACAGCATCCACCCCCAGGATGCGCTCACTCTTGGATTGGCGATGCTGTACTTTAGGGGTAATCGCCCAATCCTCAGGGTTTCTGTCTGCAGTTGCTCAAACACTCGACCTTCATAGCCACCAATGCGACACACAGACCCCTGCACTCAGGCCAACCCACTGCACAAGCACATGGGTGGGGGATCCGTGGATACAAGCTCCACATGTGGCCTCTCTTGGGTCCCCTTTTTGGCTGTGGGCTCCATACAAGCCATGTTCCCCACCCATCCCCCAAGGATGGGTTCCTCAACAACTTACCCTCTCTCAGTCGTGAGCCGGGCATCACCCACAGGTGATTTTTAAGAGACTCGCTGGCCTTCCTTAACATACTTAGGTTGCTTAACAGCCACTCAGGGCTTCCCAATTTCAGCACCAGCTTTTGCCTTTCTAAGTTGGCTGAGACTCCCTCAGCCAGGGCAGTGAGCAACTCTGCCAGGTTATCATGCCCACGAGAGCAGCAACCCCATGGAGGACTTGGCCCCCCTGGGCGGGTGACCCCAGGGCTCTTCTGCACAGTCCTTGGGGTTCCCTCTGGGCTGCAGATACCACTACCCCAGCAATGATTCCTCACAAATCCCCTATTTCCTGTGTGCATTGGCTGCACCCAAAAATTGTCACTGTCTCCAGAAGAACTTTCTGAAGAAATTACCCACACTTGCAGGCTGGTGAAACTCTGGAATTCTCTCCAGAGTGTGGTGTGGGTTTGGGTGGGCTCCCCCAGCCCTGGATCTGCTGCTCCTGAGGCACTTGTGAGGGACACAGCCTCCTGACCCCTGGTGCCTGTGGGGTGGATGATGGGCACTGTCCCGTGACCCCAGGAGGAGCGAGAAGCCATCATTTAAAATGGACTAGTTCTGGGCCTCCCCAGTGGTGCAGCGGGTTGAGTGGCATGCTGTGAAGCTGTCTGCAGCCTCCACAGTGCGGGTTTGATCCCGGCCGGTCGGCTGGCGAGAATCCCACATGGTGCCACAGACCTCGCCAGTCGCGCCTGCTGCTCCCCTCAGCAGTGTATTTCATCAGTCTGTCTGTTCTGTTTCCCGCTCTGTCTTTGGTGAATCCTCTCACCCTCCCGTGCCTCTGGCCTGTACCCCAGTTCTTGTATAAAAATAAATCTTAAAAAAAATAAATAAAATGAACTAGCTCTTTGTAGAGCTCTGAAAGCTCAATCAGTGTCAACATCTATTTGTCCCACTTGTGTGTGTGACTAAAGATCACACAACCAGGTTGTGGAATGACAGATAATCTTGAGAGACTGACAGCTTGTCACCCAAGTAGACTGTCCTGGCTGCAAGAGATTGTTTATTGTAGTGTAGTCATTGTCATCATCACTTGAGTCCAGATATGACGTCCTCTCCTTGTGATTTCTTCTCTGACTCCTATTTGATGCAGGACATTCTCCTCCTTGTCACCCCCACACCCCCACACCCCCAGTCCTTCCTGGCCCTTGTATCCTGTCCTGACCCCACCCCCTACCAACCTCTCCCCCTGGAGGCCCCCTTCAGGCCTGCTCAGTGCCCCCTCCCCCTAGGGACCTGGGGTGGAGGTGCAGGGGTGGCTCCTGGGGCTCATCCTGCTTTGGCCCCTGTCACCCCCTCACCAGCCTGATGCACAAAGACGCACTGCGGTTCCTTCACCTCTCCTGGGGTACTGTGCGCTGTGGTCTCAGTAGTCGCTTTTTCAGAGGGACTCTCAGGGAAATTTGATTCTTGTCCTGATTGAGGATGTCACTGTGGGTACTGGCCTGCGTGTCCCCTGCCATGCACGTCATCTTCTGCGTCACTGGCCTGCTTGGAGCAAACGGCAGGGTTGAAATAATAACAGTAACATCACAGCTTCCAAAATAAAGGACGATGACAGCTTGTCTTAAATGTCACTGAGTTGCAGTCTTGGAGGGGGCGTGTGAGGATGTACATAGACCTCCAAATAGCTTTTGATTAACATGTGAGACAAGATAAAGGGACCGACGTCAGCGTCATGGAGGTGTGGGTCATTTCTCTTTCTTCCCCCTTATCATGAACACACTGGACATCTGGAAGGAGAATGAACCATCACACATACCCAGGAGCTTCACCCACCTGCGCATGTGAACGTGGGCAGTTGGGGTCTTGGAGGAGCAGCAGATCCAGGGCTGGGGGAGCCCACCCAAACCCACACCAAACTCTGGAGAGAGTTTCAGAGTTTCAGACTGGAGAACTTCAGACTGCGAGCCACTGGAGATACGGAATTTGAGGACGTCAGCCTTCCTGGTGGAGGAGCCCACACGCCTTCAGAGTGGGATGGAGAGGGAGGAGGGACCAGAAGAGAGGGAGGAAGTGGCAGGGCAGCCCCTCCCCAGTGCAGGAGCACCAGGGTATGGGGGGGGGCGCAGTGAGCATCCATGGAGGAGGAGGAAGGTGCGACACCCCTTGGAGCTGGATGTGAAAGTGCTGAGCAACACCTGGTGCCCCCGGTGTGGGTTCTGCTGCATCCGTTTCTAGGGGGACCCTCAGTACTTTACACGTGACATCATTTGTAGCTGGGTGAATCTAGGCCTTTGGGTGGCCACAGCTCTGGTGACAGAAGGAGGAGAAGCAGGAGGGTATGACCATCAACCTGGGTGACTGCGTCCCATCTCACCAGGTCCAGGCTGCAGGAGCCTGGGGCAGCACAGTGCTGAAGCCGGATTTCCACAGAGCCATAACCCCCTCGTGTGCGGGCCCCACAGCAGGCCCCGGGTGAGGAAGACGCTCGGTGGGGACATTTTGTTCTACATCATTTACTTTCTAGAACTAAAACAAGGCCTGGGACATGTTTGATCAATGGATGAATGAATGACACAACAGAAGGGGTTCAGATCCACAGATTTTTCTTGCAATTTTACTACAGCAATGCTTACTCAATAGTGGGTCCCGTTTTCCTTGAGCTTCTGAGAAATGCTGTCCCCATCATTCTAGATACCCCACATCCAGGTGCACACACACAACAGTGCTGCAGACATGGGTCTGTTCACCCTATTCGACAGCATCTCTCTCAAACCTTTGGTCTTAAAAAGCCCAGGTTCCTGAGGTCAGTACCTGAGCCTGTAAAATGCTTTTGGCAAATACTGCCTGAGAAGTGGACTCCACTCTGCAAATGCTCTAAGACAGGAGAGCAAAGGAAGCCTTCTGATGCATTTGTTGGGCCGAGAGCCCAACCAGAGCCACGAGGTCAGGTCCATGTGCCCCCTGCACTGCACGAGCACCTGCATGCTGGGCTGCAACCCCCACACCCCCTCCTGAGCTGGGAACCCTGACAGTCGGGACACAGGTGAACACACCACAGCCTTCTCTGGTGTCCAGACAAACTTCTCTTCACCAGGCCTGCCCATGGTGGTGAAGAGATGGCAATGGCTATCTGACAAAACAGAGTTGGTCAGCGTAGGATTACTGGCCATTATTTCAGTCACCCGCCCTCTCTGAAGCAAAACTTAGAGAAAATATTAGCCTGGGACACGGGGTAAACCACAAGAGCAGCTCCTCTAGGTTTGCCTTTGGACTCTGTCCTCTAGTGTCACCAGGCACACTGCGGGCATTTTCAAAGTAAGCTGTCATGTTCCAGGCGGGGGTGCTGGAGACCCTGTCTGTGCACGCTGAATCCTACATTCTACACTGACTGGAAATTATTTCTTTTGAATTAAGAAGGTAAGAAAGAATTTTAAATTGTAAGGGGGGAAAATTTTTTATTGACGCCAGTACTCAAGGAAGTAAACACAATTGTTACTTAGCATATGTATAGCTGTCACCTACAGGCCACTTAAATGTTTTAAGTTATGCAAATACGTAATTGGACTCAACACACAGAAAATGTAAGATTTCCGCGTTCGCCTGCTCCTGCCCTTGAGACCCGCCCCAGAGACCCTGTCTGGGCGGAGCCCCCGCAGCGCCCCCTGCTGAGCGCGGCCGGGAGAGGCAGTGATTCTCAGCACGGACAGCAGGGGGCGCGCGACCGGCACGCACCGGGGTGACAGGTGCTCCCCGCGGGCGGTAACCGCCCCAGAGCCCGCAGCCGGGTCCTTCTGGCCCGGGGGCCGCGGGGCGGGGAGCGCCGGCACAGCCCAGGGCCCCGGAGCGGCTTCCACGCGGGGAGCCTCGGCTGCTCTCAGGTGGGTTTAGCCCCCGAGGGACGGCTGTGGCGGCTCAGCGCGAGCAAGAAGCGCCCTGAGGAGGCGAGCGCCGAGGTGCGAGCTCTGTGGGGCGCAGGGACTCTGGTCCGTGAGCACCGCAGACCCTGCATTTGGGCTTGGCTCCCGCTGATTGGCTTTTCTGATGGTATTTGAACAAGGCTTAGTTTACAAAAACCCATTCATTGAGCAGTCGGGAAGTCCGTGCCATAGACATCGTGGTATTGAGACAGGGCAAGCTAGGGTTATTAGGCAGTTTTAGGGACAGTGCAGGAGGGGACCTCTGAAGAATTTAGGGAGGCTTCAGAGATAAGGACAACCAAAGAAATATAACCAATTCCATTAGGAAAAACAAACATGCCAGGACCAAGGACAACATTGTTAACGCTGGTCCTGGTTTCCTTCAGGTGGTAAAGGGAGGCGGAGATTGGAGAAATGGAGAGTGGTTTAATTTATGGACAACTTAGAAGGGCAGCTGTTTAACTTCAATGCAGGGATGCCCATCCAGAGGACTGGGCCAAAATTTAAAGATGCAACAAATGGGGAAAGACAAAGCTGTTAGATAAGGAATGTGAAGATCCCGCACTCAGTAGCAAATTAAGTGAGACAGCCGAGAACTGACCAATCACAAAGAGACTGGTGAAGTTTTAGAATAATGAGGGAAAAAAGGTATATATTCCCTGAAACACAATTCCACTGTGGCTTCCTTGCCCCTCCCAGGCCTGGTTCCCTGGCCTGGGAGTCCCACTTTATTTCTGTTCTTTTTCTCCTCAATAAACTTTTTCTTTTTCTAAACAAACTGCCTCTTCTCGCTTGCTTGCCTGAGCGTCTGTGAAGTTCCTGCTGCGGCTTCGTGAGACACCAGCCCGTGGGGGTCTAGCCGCTGGGGCTCAGCGCTGCCCTGCAGCCTGGGATCCGTTCCTGGCTGGGAGACTAGGCCTGACAATTCCGGTATCAGTATTAATACTTCTTTTTTACCGGTTTCAGATTGTGTCTTGGGAGAAATCCGGATACATTCAGAGAAGCTGAGAAACGAACACGCCCCATTGTAAATATCAGGACCTTCTGTGAGTGATCCGGGGCCCACTGCTGAGTCAGATTAGACCCCAGCACAAGGTTAAAAAAAAAAAAACCAAAACAGCCTCCAGTGAGTATGCTCTTTTATAAACTTTAGTTCTCGATGTGTGTGTCAATACTGAAGAAGGTGAAAAATATTGAAATGTTGAAAAAAAATAGATGTAACAGAACTTTTTCTATCTTATTTTATTTTTACAAAAAAGGAGAATTCATTATGTTTGCTTTACAACCTTCAGAGGAAACCAGCTCATCCGTTCTTTGACAATATATTTGCTGACAATACATCTCATAGATATGAGAACAAATTGAGGTTATTAGTAGGAAAGTGGGTGGGAGATGGGGGGATTTGGTAGAGGGTCCCTTTTAGGGTGGTGGATGCAAAGTAGACATTTGGTGGGGATATGGTGCAGTGAATATGGATGAAATTACAATTCTGAACACCTGAGACATTATGTTGTCAACCAATGTGACTTCAAGTAATTTTGATTTGTGCCATTTATTGTTTGCTTACCTGTCTCCTATTGAGAGATTTTTCATGTGTCACAAGTGCTCAGGTTACAGAAATCTCACTGATGGTCCCCCAGTGTCACTATTATTGTAATGGAATTGCCAAGACCACTCTAAATTTGGATAACCTTGAATTGAGGAAACTTTGTGAATCATTCTTAAAAGAAAAGAGTGATTTTTTTTCATTAGATCAAAATGATTGTTCACATCATCTGATCCGACTATTTCCCGTTTCCTCTCTGACTTACTTCTATCCTCAGATACCATCTTCATGGGAACCAGTGCTCCATGCAGCACACACTTTCAAGTCTCCTTTGGCTGCTGTGGGAAGGCGCTGTCTGCAGGAGCATGCTGCCTTGTGTCATGTCAGGGATGTTGCTGCAGATCTTTGTGAACTTTTTCCACTGGGTAGAAAACATCTGATGACAAATTACATGAACATTGAATCTATGGATAGAATATACATTGATTCCATCTTATGGGAATTAAATATTGCATATATGTGCATTAGACACGATTCTGTCCCACCAGTTCATTGACTTGAAAGAGAGGTCCACAGCCTCTGTGTGATAACTGAAAGGCTTGCCACCTGTATTGATCAAAGAAGAAATTTTGCTAGTGCATTAAATGAAGATTATGTTCAAGCACATGGGGCATAAGGGGATGGTGAGGGTGGTGCACTTGCCACCTGCCCTGAGTCTGCAGGCACCATCTCCAGCTGTAGGCTGCATGACCTATAGCTTCTAGGTCCCCAGATACCCGGGGAGGGTTCCAGAACCTTTGTGCTTGTGAATCCTTCCAAAAAACGGCGGCCCTACAGACTCATTCCAGTGATCAGCTCCAGTGGTATGAGATTCTGTGGCAGTGTCAGGTGAGAGGACTCTGCACATGGGCTGCTCTGGGGCAGGGATCTTGGGTGGAGGGCGGAGGAATGACTGAATTCTGGAGGCACTTGGGGCTTTACAACTTGGGTAGTGTGTATCAAACCATATCTTTAAGTTTCGGTAGAGAGCTCAAGAAGTAAAATATTTTCAGTGCAGGTGAAATGAAATGAGCAATAGGTATAGTATGCAGAAGTTAGAAGTTAGAGAAGAGTAAAAATCTCCTTTATTGAGAAGCTGGAGAAACCTACTGGATATCCCACTGCAACGAATGGTCAGGCTCCTGGAGAACATTGATGTTCTGACCCGACTGGGTGAAGAGATGGAGGATCCCTGACTGTGGTAGAGTCAGTCACTCTCGTGACATACTGGGAGAGTGTGTGGCAGAGCAGTGTCTGTCTCCTTTGACTTCTTTGGAAGGTTTGCATGAGTGAGGGCTCAAGAAAACCCTCCAGAGAATAAATAATAAATCTTCAAATAACACAGACACAATATGTAAAGAAGAGTGGCTTATTAGTCTTGAGTATTGCAATGCATCAGAGACCTTATCTGGTGGCCTCAGAAAGGATGGAGCACTCAGGTGAGGTTGTTTATCCCTAACTCCTCTGTCTGTGGTACGAGCTCAGAGACGGGCTGCTGATGGCTGCTGGGTTCAGCCCATGGATCCTCAGATTATTTAGGAATAAAGAGAGAAAATTATTTTGTTCCAATGACTTAAAATTTATTTTAAATAAAGGAATGCTTTACAAAATTAAAAATAAAATCACCACTATACGCCCAACAAGATGCTAATTGGCATCATCGTTTTGGGGGAAGAAATGCTATCTGCTCTTTTGTGTTCCTTCTGTAGTTGTTCTGTCATCAAACATTCTGCAAGGGAATAAAGCACACCGCTGACCCTACCAGTCACCCCAGATCTACAGGAATTGTGGCATCTGCTCTCTGAAATCCTGGCATATTCCTATCCTGGAGCAACTCACAGACACTTGTTCATCAACCTAAGCAGGTATTCCTCATGCCATGTTTTATCTGTTCAAGTTCTTGCCTTCCTTGCACAGAGAAAAGATAATTATGTCCTGAATTTGAAACATTCCCATTGCCCTGGCAGTGAATTATTTATGGAAATGAGTCTTTGTCTCTCTAATCTCTTGCCAGCATGTGAATTTTTTTTTTTTTATTTAACTGGGACATCTCACCTGTCCCAATGCCATGTAAGCTGGATCTTAACAGGGAGGGCTGAGGAAGCATCTGGCAGGAACCCTGTCCTCCACACACTGTTCTTTTCAAGGATAATTGAAAACTTTGAATCCAGGAATAAATCTGTTCTTTTTCCCACATGGTGGTGTTATTTTTCATAGCCATCTAACTTAGATCATGCCAACATTTCTAGAAAAGATGTTTATTGACATGGATCTCTTCTTTCCACCAGGCCCATGAGAGAAGAGCAGAGCCAAGCACCTCTGCCCCTGCCGCAGGGCTCTGCCTGAAGCTTGCTATTGCCTTGGCTCCAAGGACACCATCCCGTATCTATTTAGGATCTTCCTGGGCAGGATGAGTAATCAATGCAGAATCAGAATGGTTAGGAAAGGAAAAATCAATGTATTACCTTATGCAGTATGGGCTTTATGGTAACATGGAAGTTCATTGGGTGAAAATTCCCTTGACAGAGATGATGCTACATGTTGTGCTGAAGGGGGCCCCTTAAACATAGGCACCCCAGTAACTTCATTCCTGCAAAAAAAAAAGTTAGTTTAGGAAGTCATAATAAAGGACCCCAAACAAATCCATGCTGTTTACCCCTGATTAGTAATTCAAAACGCCTCAGGTAGAGACTAACATGAAAAACCTCTCTAGTAAATGCCGAGGAAAGACTCTAGATATGTTTGAAGCTAAAGACTAACAGAAGATCCTGGTTGCCCAGGTTCTAGCCCTGCAGCTGATTGAAGGCTTTTTGGCACTAGAGGGATGACATGGTCAGGAGCGCACTAGAGAGGTGCCCAGGACTTACTATGCAGGAGTTCCATGACCTGGATACAAACGCCATCGAGGAGGCCCTGACACAGGCTCCAAGTAGAATGGGGGAATGTAAAACTGTCGGCATTGCTGAGATTGTCAAAGTTGCAGCAGGTGTTATGTAAAAAGTGTGTATTTTTCCTGATTGTGTTAGGAGGATGGAAATTGTGCTTGGCGACCAGTTCCCCAAGCCCGCATGTTGAAAGATAAGGCCTGTAAATCCAGTCCTCAAGAATTGTTAGTAGGTTGTTTAATGGGAAGCCCTCAGATGGCCCGAGCACCACAGTGTGGAGCAGACGCTGGACAGACAAGTGCTGTGTGCAGAGTTCGCGCACGGCACGGACAGGGGACAATGCAGGAGCCCATGAGTGTGTCCCGGTGAACACACCAGGGCTCTGGACAGCAGCCTCGACACACCATGGGCAGGGCAGTGCCCAGCAGAGTTCACCGCAAGTGAAATGGTCCCTAGAGGCTGGCGCAGCCCGGGGAAAAACCTGAGGAACTCAGGAGGCGGTGCCTCTGGGCCCAGGACTGGCTCTTGCCCCTAGGACAGGGCTCTGTAACGGCTCTCGACTCACCCGCAGAGACACCCGCTTGGTGCTGAGAAGAAGGGACACCCAGGGGTGGGAAGGCCACCACTCTGGGGGAGGAAGTGAAACTCAAATCCGTGCTCTGGCTGAGTCGCAGCCTGTTTCCCACAGTGATAGAAGAATTGAACAGCTGAAAGACCCGCGCTTGGGTTTTACTGACTCCTGGTCGGTGACCCATGGCCCGAACATATGGCAGCATAGGGCCGGGAATCCTGGGCTGTTTGGGGTGCCTGTGTGGGGCACGGCCTGAGAAGCCTGCGCTGGTCCACACCCACCTCCAGACAACAGTAAATGTAACATTCACACAAACATGTCACTCTGAGCCGCCGCTCTCGTCCTTCATGGCATTGATGAGGGAAGTTGTCGTTTCAGTCAGAGTGTTTTTGTCTTTTTTTTCCTCCTCTGTGAAGCATGTCAGTGTACCGCAGGCCCCTCCAGTCTCTTCTTTGTTTCTCTGGAGACTGTGTTCCGTGTGCGTGCACACATACTGGGGTGGGAGCACAGAAAGGGGAGCGCTGATGGCAGGAGGCCATCCTTTCCCTCCCCAGTGTAAAGGCCCTTGCAGACTTTGGGGCTTTTTCACAGTCCCACAGCTTCCTTGCTCCTTAGGGCTTCCTTGCTCCTCAGGCCTCTCAGTTCTGAGTCTGTGTAGTGAGCACCTGCATCCTGTGATTGCAAGGCAGAGATGACAGTGATATTAAGGAAGTAATGATTGCATGGGAGGTGGATGCATTCAGCACGACAGCTGAGCGTCGATGCCTTCACATGCTTAACGCTGATCAATACTATATATAAAGAAACAAACTTGGAGCCATCCAGGTGTGGGTGAGAATCAGAATCAGGTGCTGTGGAGGGTGAGGTGCAGGTATGTCAGGCACAAAGGCAGGTGTGTGGTGTGTACACTGTGTTTCTTCTGTTTCCCTACTTGCTGCAGTGGTCATAAGCCCCAGGCTGTAACAAGAGGTGGAGGTGAAACGGTAATTTTTGGTCTGACTCCTTGATGTTCATAATCCATAATTCAAGAGCAAGCAATGTTTTGCAGAACTCAGGTTAAATCAGGTCTGGGAAACCCGATATCAGGGCACACCCTGTCACAAAGGCCACCTCCCCAAATTGGGGAGAAGCCGGGACTGTTTGGGGGAATACTAAGGAAGGAGAGTGGTTGAGACTCTGAGTCCAGAGTATTTCAGGGAAATGGTCAGGGCTTCCAGGACCTGCATGCATGCCCCCTTCTTTCCATGTTTGGTCTTGACTGGCTCTGTCCTGGGGGATGTTTTCACCATGAGAGAGAGGTTGTGGATTAATCCGTGTCTGTCTTCTAGCTGCATATTGTTTCAGTCCATGTGTCTGCTTTTCTGTTCTGGTTTTTTGTCCCTGCAAGCAAAGTTAAACAGGAGCAAAGAAACAGGACTACTAGGGCAAGGAGAAGAAACTTCTGGTACCAGATGGGTGACAGAAGCACAAAACTGTAACTGCTTTTAACCTTATGTGAAAGTGTTAAGGGCTGATGGGGTGGATGAGCCCTCTTCCTAGCTGGAAAGTTGGGCCTAATTTTGAGTGTAGCTCTATTGCCTTGAGGGAGGGAAACCCACAGCCTTACCTGTGCGAGCCAGGGGGGCTCGGGGAGGTATGTGCTGGACTAGCGATGTCGCCTGCGGTCCAGACCAGCACAGGCTGCGCCCACTGTCCCTCCAGCAGGGTGTCTGGGTATAAAGGGAGATTGAAGCCCTGGCCAACCCACCTGTGGGCAAGAGCAGCTGCGTGTGCTGAGCTGTCTTCTGAGCTTGTTTACATTGAGGCCACAGTTTGTGATGCTCAGCTGCGAGTCCTCCTGCCTGAACCAAGTGTCCATGATATGGGGACCAACAAGACAGGACAGGAACCACCCATCCTGCATTCAGAGCAAAGGGACCATCCATCAGGAATCTCCAGTCATTTGAGAAGACTCTTCCCCAGGTGGATTTGGAACTCTTGGAGCCCCTGTCCACGCAACAAGGACCTCCTGCCACACACGCAGCTCTGTGCCCACTGTCCACTTTCCACCCAGCGTGATTCAACTCTGTCTCCAGAGGTGCTTCCATAATGTGATTCAAGAGCCTTCCCGCCTCCGCAGAGGTAGATCTGGTCTTGGGCTTCCTACCACTGCAGACCTGCTTCCACAAAGACCTTTCTTTTCCTGAAACCCAGTTGGCAATCTTTGGCATTTACGCCAATCAGGTAGAGGGGCTCCTGATATCTGAGAAACAAAAGAAGGAAAAATCGTAGCTATGAATTAAAAAAAAAATAATGATGTCATGAGAGAAGGTTTACATTAAGTGAACACCTTGGAAGGGCAGGTGCTGAGAGTGTCTTTCATCTCCATTTTCCTGGGGGTGAGCATCTGGGAGTATCTGAGGAAGGTGGTGGATTGTTTCTAAGTCAATATCCAGGTTGTGATACAAACTATAGTTCTTTAAGATGTAGCCATCGGGGAAGCTGGGTGAAGGATAGCAGGGATCGCTGCATTATTTCCGGAAACTGCACGTAGAACTGCCATTCTCTTAATAGTTCAATTAAATGAGACCAACCTGATGGGCTTTCTCTGAGGAATAAATGTGGTCATTTCTTAGGAAGAAATTCATTCAACAGATGTGAATTGACACGCCAGTGACCTTGTAAATGTTGTGTTTTTAACAGTCAATAACAGGCTTCATGTTCTAATGCAATCTTTAATGCTGAAATGCCATCCAAAATGAGTTATTTGTCAGTATTGCCTTAGTAATGGATGTGATTGTATATCTCTCGAACAACGCTGTTAACCAATGTTACCTCTGTTAAATGAATGAGTGAATAAACACACTGCTTTATTACTATTATTTTTTATATTTATTTATTTATTTATTTAAATCATTGCTCATTTTTGTGCAATGCATGCTTTCTCCTCTCGGGTGTAGTCCCCATAAAATTCCCACCATCAGTTCACCTCTGAACCATCACCATAGTCCCTTGTGCTCTCCCCCCGACCCCCTGTTTTGATCCCTCTCCCTTCGCTCCTCTGCAGAATGTCTCTGATTTATAATTGCCTATTAGTTTTGTTTATTTGTTATTTTTTTTCTGATTCCTTATTTGGTTCCCCTATATTCCTCCTATAAGTGAAACCATCTGAAATTTTTCCTTCTGACTTATTTCACTGAGCATAATTCCTTCCAGCTCCATGTTGCTACGAGTGGCAAAGTCTATTTTTTTTACAGGTATTCTTTTGAATCAATGTTTTTGTGTCCTTTGGGTAGATCCCTAGGAGTGGAATTGGTGGGTCATATGGTAGCTCCACTTATAGTAGTCTGAGGAACCTCCACACAGCCTTCCATAGTTTCTGGACGAGTTTGCACTCCCATGAGCAGTGCAGGAGAGTTCCTTATTCACCACATCCTCGCCCATCGTTTGTGGTTGCCAGTTTTTTTTTTTTTTTTTTTTTTTTTAAATATGGGCCATTTTCACTGGTGTGAGGTTGTATCTCATTGTGGTTTGATTTGCATTTCCCTGATTATAAGTGATGTTGAACATTTTTTCACATACCTGTTGGCCATCTGCATTTCCTCCTTGGAGAAGTATAATACTCTACCTCAGCAGTCACATGACTGGATGCTTGCCAGTCATGACAGTAGCTTCAGAGAGATTACAAAAGTCTCCAGGTAGAGCCAGATGCAGGATTTGCCAAGAAGTGGGGTATGGCTCACTATCCTCAAATTCTGAGAGTTCGTCTACCAGGGGGTACAGTTCTCCTAGCAGAATTATTCAGTGAAGACAAGGCAGTGGCATGTGGGGACTGGACCACTCTGGGGACAGCTGAGTGAGTGATGGAGGAGGCCACCCCTGCTTCCTGGGGAGGGAGGGAGAGGATGACGCAATGCCACTGGGGATGGGCAGCTGACCCTGAGTCAAGAGAGGTCCTCACGCGGCCTTTTCTACATGAGGTGGTAAAGGAACCCTCAGTCCCATTCTGTAAGGTCCATGTCTACCAGGCGTGGCCTGGGGTAAGTGCACCGACCCACCCCCACAACTAGGAGAACAATCTAGTGATGTTCCCGGGAGTGAGGCAAGGAAGTCATCACAGACTCCTATAATTTCAAGGAAGGGTAGGAAGGGAGACTGTGCTCTGTACCCTATGGATTGGGGGGGCTTATTCTCCTGGGCACTCCTGGTGGGCCACACAGAACACAGGAAACCATCATGGGCATCATTGTGACGCTGAATGGGGTCACTGCTCTATGAAGGCACAGTCTCCTCAGTGCTTTGTGTAAGTAGCTGCATCCCAATGGTGACAGTCTCTCAGATGAGGAAACAGTCACTGGGAAGCAAAGTTCTGCAACTTTGGGAGGTAGGACAGGGTGCAGCCAGCTCTGAACCAGCTGGTCTGGCTTAGAGTCTACTGACCCCAACATGGCAGGTTATACTGACAACAAGTGCTTCTGGAGTTTGGGAGGTGTATTTGTGTTTGTTTTATTTCTAGTTTCTTTTTTTTTTTAAAGATTATATAAGAACTGGGGTACAGACAGAGGAACGGGAGGGTGAGAGAATTCACCAGAGACAGAGCAGGGAGCAGAACAGGCAGATGTACTGAAGACACTGCTGAGGGGAGCAGCGGGCAAGACAGGAGAGGTCTGCCACGCCATGTGGGTTTTTCCCAGGCCAGATGGGAATCGAACCCATGCTGCAGATGCTGCAGACAGCTTCACAGCGCGGTGCTCAACCAGCTGTGCCACTGGGGAGGCCCCATTTTCTAGTTTCTAAAACAAATCCTACTGAGGTCTAATATGCAGAATTTCAAGTTGCAGATGAGATTTGAGGCTCCGTGTCCTGCTGGGCAGAGTTGCTTGAGCCAGCCCAAAGCGTGGGCAGCATAGAGGTCACCTTCCTTTCCCAGGGCAGTGTGCTAGGAGGCTGGGATCCTGGAATCTTGCACAGCGAGTGAAGAATCCCAGGTTTCACATTGCCCAGCCTTCTCATGGGCCTCGGCTTCACTGTGATGGTTGCCAACAGGCCCAGCCAGGATGTGGCCTTCCCACCACCTCAGACCTTCAGACCTGAGGGCCATGGTCTCTCCATACCTGCCACCTGCTCAGAATCACAGAAGGAAACTCTGATCATTTAGCTACCTCTACTGGGCCAACAGGCCAGCTTGCTAGTAAGCCTAGGCCCACTTCTCAGGCAGGGAGGGAGCTGATCTGCAGCCATGTTATTTGTGTGTGGACCCTGGGAAGGAGGTGCAGGAGATTCTTCCAGCATGTTGGAGCCGGTGTGGAGAGAGAACCACGTCTGCACATGCATGGACATGCTTGCTCCCAGTGGGCGCTGTGGGCTTCTCTGACTGAAGAGGATTATAGACATTTATGTGTGACATTGATGCCTTAATATTTGGTGAGTCTTTACTATGTGCTAGCTCATTTATCCCCAACAATAAACTAATAGGGGACTCCCTGGTGGCTCAAGAGGTTAGGACACAACCTATGGGGCTGGCCACAGCCACTGTGGCTCGAGTTCGATCCCCGGCCTGGGTGCTGCCCACATGGCACAGCAGACCTCTCCTGGCATGCCTACTGCTCCCCTCAGCAGTGTATTTCAGTCACTCCATCTGTTCTGTTCCCTGCTCTGTCTCTGGTGGATTCTCTTATCCCCCCACAACTCTGGCCTACACCCCAGTTCTTGTATGCATGAATAGATAGATCTTTACTAAAAAACAAGCTAACGAGTGGTTGATTGTTCTTGTATCCTTCTCACTGACATGAAAGCGGAGGTATAGGCACTTAACTCACTTGCTCAGATCACACAGCCAATAAGTGGTGGAGTGTCCTGACCCGCGGGATTCGTAGGCACGAAAAGAGAAGGGCTGAGGATTGAAATGAGGGGCTTGAGACAACTTGACGCTAGCGGTTGCTTCTTTATTTTTCCTTTACCTTCTCTTACTTTGATATGTCTTTCTTTTCCCTGTCTTTCTACCTTCCCTGGCCTTCTCTCTGCTCCTCTCGCAGTAACCTCTCGCAGTATCTTCCTCTCGCAGTCTCTTCGCAGTATTCCTCTTACTCTCTCGTGGTTCCCTTCTTATACCCTGGTAGCTCCTCCCATCGTACCTCCCAGTCCCACCTGATTTACAGGAAAACGTGATTTTCAGAAGGCGAAACGGTAAATCAAAACTTAACTTATCGCGAGTATGCGCAATACGGCGCGTGCTCCAGGTGGCTCCGGACAGTGGAGCCAAAAAGGGAGTTAAAGCATTTTTTTCCCCTGGAGTGTGCATTCGTTGACTCAACAAGCATTCATTCATACAGATTATTTGCAAGACCCTCTAAATTAAATGGTGTCATCTGAAGTAATGTGACAATGACAAATTGCAAACACTTAAAGACCCACAAGGTTCTAGGCACTGAACTATACATGCATGGGACGTAATGTTGATGACGATGGTGCCAGATGGTGTGAGATGTTTCCAAAAATCTGATGACAAATCAAACTGCACTTAACCCATTTCATGCACAAGAAAAGTGAGTTTAGGACAGGCTCAGTCACTTCCCATGGTACAGATGCCCAGAGACAGCCACAGGGTGGAAAACTCCTGTCCTCTGTTGATGTCCTAACACACTTAGGGATCTAACATGCCGGTCCATGCATGCAGATTACACAGGCGTGAGCACGCACGCTGTGCATAAACACACACACACATACACACACACACACCAGCCTCTAACCAACCAGGCACACTGGTTTCCAGCAAAGTCTCTGCAAGCAGATTGGTGAATATCCCTGGCGTGGTGTCCCCTCTGCTGTCACAGAGGGGTGTGCTTTCTGGTGTCAACCCAGCATCTGGTGCTGTATGACAGCAGGGCCTTCTCAGGGCTGTGTCTTGGTTCCAAGATGTCCAAAAGTGGACAGAGATCCTGACAGGCTATGCTGGGGTGTTACATGGAGGTTTGCAGACCCAGATTTCAGGACAGAGAGTGAGAAGTTTCCCAGAGACCCTGCCGCCAGCCAGCATGGGCTGTGCCCTTCCCCACAGTATCAAAACAACAGAATGACATCTTTGGGAGGACTCCACGACAATATTATCCTCATCAAGCAATGCCAGCCATCAGAGCGAGGTGGAAGAGTTGAGGTTTGACCAGGAGTGCCAGGCTCATCCTCACCATCTGAGCAGAGCTGATGCCAAGACAGATAGGCCCGGGGTCCACCTCTCTGGTCCCCTCTTCCTGTAGAGTCTCCAGTTCTTCCTTTTTCTCTCCCAACATCCCCCCCAGACCCGAGTCCACTCTGGCCCTTCTCTCTGCCTGGCCCAGCCCTCCATCTGATTGCTGCAAATTTGACTGTCTTCTGAGAAGGGTTCAGAGATGGTCCTGGCCTCAGTCCCAGGAGACAACAGTGCACATGCAGGGTTTCACCAAAGCCATGGAGGGTCCAGTGGAGGGTCTTTCTTGCCTCGGATGGCCATGCAGCTTCTAGGGCCAGTCCTGGGATCACAGGACCCTGGGCGATGACAATGCCAGCGTGCACAGGCACTGAGTATGTGGCTTCAACTGTCCTCAAGAGTGTGTGGAATTGGGCACAGACACTCCTGTTTCAAGGAAGGAAACTGCGCAGGGTCCCACAGCAGTGAGCAGCATGGCGGGTCTCCATCCGAAAACTCCTGGTTTGTCTCCAGGGTTCACAAAGGGCTCCCCAACTTGGGATGCCGAACTTGGCTTTGGGGAGCGCTTCCTCAGCTGCACCAATCATCTCCCAACTCTAGGTGACATCACAACCTTACTCATTCTTTTCCTCCTGCAGGGATGCAATATTCAGAGCAGCCCTGCCCCTCCCTGGACACCCCTGTGCTC